ACGAAAGAAAGAGCGAGAAGCACCTGAGTCCAGTGTGAAGGTGTGCAGTGCTGCAGTCGACTCAGTACCAGGGGGCACAGACGCACAAGCACCTAGAGCAGCAGCTGCAGAAGTACCTGTGGAAGCAGACACACTAGCACCTAGAGCAGCAGCGGGGCTGGCCTGAATGCCCGGGTCGGGCGGAACACGCAAGTACTGAGCACCCTCTCCACTAATAGACATCGCATACATGGCAGTGAGAATAGCATCAAAGTCAAGTGCCCAAATATCAACACCCTTCCTGAGCAGATCAGCCCAGCGCGGCAGCTCACCCCCACCAGGAAACTGAGTGCGCCACGCATCGTTGAGGCGGGCGAAGCAGCGCTCCGTCTGGTGCGGCCCCCCACACGTCTGGCCAGTGCGGTCACCTGTACGAATAACGTACTGGCAGGTGACGCTGCGCCGCGCATACCACTCACGGGCGGCCTGAAGGGTCGGGGCAGGCTGCTGACTCTGACCGCCCCCCGGGCCTCCACGACCACCACCCCCTCCGCCTCCGCCCCGGCCACCTCCACCCCTGCCGCTGCCACGACCACCTCCGCCTCCGCTGCCACCTCCGCCCCTGTCACCACTCCCAACACCGCTGTCACCTCCACCACCGCCGCCACTAGCCTCTCCAGTCGCACCTCCACCGCCACCACCTCCACCCCCGCCTCCTCCGCCACCACCCCCACTCCTGCCACTCCTGCCCCTGCGTCGTCCGCCTGAAGCAGACGCAGCCCCGACCTTCTCAGCACCAAGGAGGTCGACAGCAGCAGCAGAGGCGACAGAGGGGAGGAGGGGGGAAGGGGAGCACCCCTCGAAGAAGGGGCCGCGGGGGTCGCCACGAGAGGTGCCTACAGCGACGATACTAGCCTCGGCTGCAAGCAGTTCCTTCTCGAGGAGGGCTATGGTGAGCTCAGTGGGGGAGCGAGAGAGGAACTGGTCCCTGACAGGGCGCAGAGAGTCAGGGAGGCGGGTGACAACGTGGTAGAGGGTGATCCAGAGCGGGGGGGGGTTGCTAGCGAGGAACTCATCAGGCATGGCAGCGCGAAAGCGAGCCTCACTAGTCTTAAGGTGGGTGATGAGGTCTGCGACAGTGTGAAAAGAGGCTAGGTCGGGGAACAGGTAGGGGAGAGTGAGGCGGCCTAGTGTGGCAGAAGCGGGTGAGGAGTAGCGGGCCACTACAGCTGTGTAACCCACTACAGCCTAGACAATATAAACATGCAATGTTTGACAACCTTTGCCAGCCCTGCTCCAACAGCCCTGGTCTCCAAGCCATGGCGTTAGTACCTCAAGTTTAGCAAGCATCATCATCCGTGAACAAGGGGACAGCTTCAATGAGCATTGACTGAACAACTTACATACAGCAACAGCCGATTTCTTACCGTGCACCACCCCGGCAGCAAATGCGGGACACCTACGCATTCGTACCTCTCAGTTCACCTGCACAACAGCAACAACAATATGGGGACGGTTTCGGAGTGAGAGATGCTACAAACTATCACACACAGATGCTAAAGATCTTGAAGTTTCAAACTTCAACACGTGTCGATGGGAAAGACTTCTTCGCTTGGAGTTTTGAATATGGAATCATGATGGAAACACCACAATATGGGAGTACTTCACCGGGGAAATTTCGTTTCCAATCAGCGGCACATCAGATCAACAGCGCGGTTTCGGCTTAGAGTCGATGATGGAATTTACAATTCTTCTTTGTAACCTGACACCTACTGAACAGAAAGGCATGAGAGCATACAGGGAGTTTGCAAATTCAGCGGAGTTAGCATGGCAACGTTTGAAGTGGCTTTGCCATGCAACAGACTGTGTCATACAGAGCGGACTTATGTCGCAGTTCAACAATGTGCAGATGAAGGCAGGAGAACATGCGGCACATTTTATCAACAGATGCAGAGAGTTACGTGAACAGTTTAATCAAAGTGGTGGTTGCTTCCCTGTGGCCATGTTTGTAGCAGATGTCATCGCCAGACTTGGACCTCAGTGGCGTTCTATGCGCTCCCTTCTCCGTACTCAAGGGAACGTCTCGCAGATGCACCTCTGCACAACACTCCTCGCCGAACAACATGACATAAATCTGTACGACAGCAAAGGCAACAAGAAAGTCAATCAGTTCGCTTTTATAACACATAGTAAAGTGGAGCCGCCAAAATCGCAATGACAAAAACGTTTTCAGTAGCAGCACAAGCAGCGACAATAGCAGCCACGGCAGGAGCAACAGCAGCAGGAGTACTACGTACCTCTATTTTTGTCACAACTGTAAGACTTCTGGTCACTCTTGTGATCAGTGCCCTCAACGTCAACAGACAACATGTCAACGTCATGCCGCTGCTCCTTCACAGGTTGCAGCCGCTACTGCATCAGCTGCACAGAGTAATCAACAGACTATGTCAGCACCAAAAAAAGGGAGAAACGTACAAGCCTGGATGACTCGCACAGACTCATGCATCACGGACTCACTTCCAACCTTTGCTCCAGATGTAGTTCAAAAAGAAGTTCAAACACATCTTTAAATCAACCCACAGTACGCCAGTGTCGAAGCTACCGCTGAATACGGTCCAGGTGTTTGGTTTCTTGACAGTTGCTGCACAACACATGTGCACGTCAGGGATTAACAACGGGTTCTTCGTGAAACACGAAACACGAAACACGACTTCATCAGGAAGTTACATTGACGGTCGCTAACAACCAGACTCTACGTACTCAACGCCAAGGCACAGTTCTTCTTCAGTTGCCGAGGACAAACACAGTCATACAGCTTCCAATATATTCATGGTGTTTGACCTTGGCTACAACCTTCTCAGTGTCAGTCAACTGATGAGCCGCGGAGTAAACCTGGAATGTGAAAGTGAAAACATACACGGTGACGAGTCACACCGGAGTCCGGCCAACTTCGCCAGCAGCGGCACCAGCAGCGGCACGTGCAGCAGCACCAGCGGCACCAACGGTCATCCGCTCCTTCCATACCTCCTTCTCTGAGGACTCCCATGAGGAGTTCCTTGACCTCCACCTCTGTGACCCTTCCCTTCTACCCATCACCTTCGACCTTTCTGGGACACCTGTCTTCGCATTCTCCTCTGCTCCCTCCGTTTTCATCCCTACCACGTATGAGGAGGCCATGGCTTGCCCCGACGCCCCACTCTGGCTCGCCGCCATTATCAAGGAGCTGGAGGCCTTTGTCGCCAACTCCTCCTTTGTTGATGTGCCTCGCCCTCCCTCCTCTACGAACGTGGTGAAGGGGAAGTGGGTGTTTCGCGTCAAACAACTGCCAGGGGAGCCGCCCGTCTATAAGGCTCGTTACTGCGCCAAGGGGTTCACGCAGCGGTATGGTTTTGACTTCTTCGATACCTTCTCCCCCACTGCCAAGCCCGCTACTGTTCGCGCCGTGCTCGACCTCGCCGCTCGCCTCAATATGGAGATCCACTCGATGGACGTCTCTAACGCCTTCCTCCAAGGCGTCCTCCGCGAGCTTATCTACATGGAGCGTCCTGCCGGTTTTCACCTTCCCTTCCCTGCGGACTCTGTCTGGCAGCTGCGTCGCCCTGTGTATGGGCTCCGACAGGCCCCGAGGGAGTGGCATGCTAAGCTTGCCGCCACCCTTGCTGAACTTGGATTCCGCACCTCCCGTTCTGACGCCAGCCTCTTCCTCCGCGCCTCCCCCTCCCCCTTCTACATCCTTGTCTATGTCGATGACATGATTCTACTCACTGCCGACCTCAGCGAGTTGGAGCGTGTTAAGGCTGAGTTGGGCAGCCGTCTCAAGTGCAAGGACTTGGGCGAATTGCAGCATTACCTGGGCATGACAATCACCCGCGATCGCTCCGCCCGCACCATCTCTCTCTCCCAGGGTCATTACTTGCAGCAGGTCTTGGAGCGGTTTGACATGGTCCGCGGCGGCGCCCAACCTACTCCTCTTTCTGTCGGGCACCACCTCTCTCCACCCACCTCCCCCTCAGCCTCCTCCCATCCTTATCCCGAGCTCATCGGCTCCCTCATGTACGCCATGGTCTCCACTCGCCCTGACCTTGCCTACCCCATCAGCGTCCTCGCTCGTTTTGTTGGCGCAGGCAAGCATACGGAAGAGCACTGGCAGGCCGCCAAGCGTGTCCTCCGGTACCTTCGTGGCACCAAGGACTATGTCCTTACCCTCGGCGGCCCCTCCCCACCTACCCTCAGCGGCTACAGTGACTCCTCCTGGGCTGATTCCCAGCCAGATCGTCGCTCCTCCCAGGGCTATGGCTTCTCTCTTGGCAGCGGCCTTATCAGCTGGCGCTCCACCCGCTCCTCGGCTGTCGCCCTCTCCTCCTGCGAGGCGGAGTTGTATGCCGCCACCATGGCTGCGCAAGAGGCCCGCTGGCTCACCTTCCTCCTTGAGGAACTTGGTGCCCCCCAGCGCTGTCCCACCATTTGGTGTGACAATGCCAGTACCATTCACCTCACCAAAGATGCCGTGTTTCACGGGCGTTCCAAGCACATTGAGCTCCGTCATTTCTTCATTCGCGATCTTGTTCAGGCGGGGCACCTTCGGCTCGACAAGGTTGACTCGGCGGCCAACCTTGCCGACATCTTCACAAAAGCTCTTCCTCATGTCGCTCACTCTTTCCTACTTCGTCTTCTTGGCCTCACTCCTCCTAAGTCGCCTCCCGCCTCTTGATTCTAGCCTTCTAGCCTTATGCATGTTGGGGGGTTGTGTTGTAATTTCATAATTTGTACAACATACATAGGCTAGAATTAGATCTGTAGTACACTTATAAATTGGGGGTTGTTTAGTGTACCCTCCAACCACATTTTGTGGTTGGTTGGGATTGGTCCCTAGCTCAACCAATCCCAACCAACACACATTTGTGGTTGCTTGGGTCACAAGCAAGCTCACCCATTGGCCAACTTATTGGCCAATAGGGTAAGCTTCCCTTTCATCTCTCTCTTGCTCATTGTTTGTACTAAAGGGCCTCTTGGCTCATTATTCAATGTATCTCTTCTAGCTTTTCAACAAGGAAGCGAGCAGGGAGATGTGAGGAAGCGAGCAGGGAGATGTGAGGAAGCGAGCAGGGAGATGTGAGGAAGCGAGCAGGGAGATGTGAGGAAGCGAGCAGGGAGATGTGAGGAAGCGAGCAGGGAGATGTGAGGAAGCGAGCAGGGAGATGTGAGGAAGCGAGCAGGGAGATGTGAGGAAGCGAGCAGGGAGATGTGAGGAAGCGAGCAGGGAGATGTGAGGAAGCGAGCAGGGAGATGTGAGGAAGCGCGCAGGGAGATGTGAGGAAGCGCGCACGGAGATGTGAGGAAGCGAGCAGGGAGATGTGAGGAAGCGCGCAGGGAGATGTGAGGAAGCGAGCAGGGAGATGTGAGGAAGCGAGCAGGGAGATGTGAGGAAGCGAGCAGGGAGATGTGAGGAAGCGCGCAGGGAGATGTGAGGAAGCGAGCAGGGAGATGTGAGGAAGCGCGCAGGGAGATGTGAGGAAGCGAGCAGGGAGATGTAAGGAAGCGAGCAGGGAGATGTGAGGAAGCGAGCAGGGAGATGTGAGGAAGCGAGCAGGGAGATGTGAGGAAGCGAGCAGGGAGATGTGAGGAAGCGAGCAGGGAGATGTGAGGAAGCGAGCAGGGAGATGTGAGGAAGCGAGCAGGGAGATGTGAGGAAGCGAGCAGGGAGATGTGAGGAAGCGAGCAGGGAGATGTGAGGAAGCGAGCAGGGAGATGTGAGGAAGCGAGCAGGGAGATGTGAGGAAGCGAGCAGGGAGATGTGAGGAAGCGAGCAGGGAGATGTGAGGAAGCGAGCAGGGAGATGTGAGGAAGCGAGCAGGGAGATGTGAGGAAGCGAGCAGGGAGATGTGAGGAAGCGAGCAGGGAGATGTGAGGAAGCGAGCAGGGAGATGTGAGGAAGCGAGCAGGGAGATGTGAGGAAGCGAGCAGGGAGATGTGAGGAAGCGAGCAGGGAGATGTGAGGAAGCGAGCAGGGAGATGTGAGGAAGCGAGCAGGGAGATGTGAGGAAGCGAGCAGGGAGATGTGAGGAAGCGAGCAGGGAGATGTGAGGAAGCGAGCAGGGAGATGTGAGGAAGCGAGCAGGGAGATGTGAGGAAGCGAGCAGGGAGATGTGAGGAAGCGAGCAGGGAGATGTGAGGAAGCGAGCAGGGAGATGTGAGGAAGCGAGCAGGGAGATGTGAGGAAGCGAGCAGGGAGATGTGAGGAAGCGAGCAGGGAGATGTGAGGAAGCGAGCAGGGAGATGTGAGGAAGCGAGCAGGGAGATGTGAGGAAGCGAGCAGGGAGATGTGAGGAAGCGAGCAGGGAGATGTGAGGAAGCGAGCAGGGAGATGTGAGGAAGCGAGCAGGGAGATGTGAGGAAGCGAGCAGGGAGATGTGAGGAAGCGAGCAGGGAGATGTGAGGAAGCGAGCAGGGAGATGTGAGGAAGCGAGCAGGGAGATGTGAGGAAGCGAGCAGGGAGATGTGAGGAAGCGAGCAGGGAGATGTGAGGAAGCGAGCAGGGAGATGTGAGGAAGCGAGCAGGGAGATGTGAGGAAGCGAGCAGGGAGATGTGAGGAAGCGAGCAGGGAGATGTGAGGAAGCGAGCAGGGAGATGTGAGGAAGCGAGCAGGGAGATGTGAGGAAGCGAGCAGGGAGATGTGAGGAAGCGAGCAGGGAGATGTGAGGAAGCGAGCAGGGAGATGTGAGGAAGCGAGCAGGGAGATGTGAGGAAGCGAGCAGGGAGATGTGAGGAAGCGAGCAGGGAGATGTGAGGAAGCGAGCAGGGAGATGTGAGGAAGCGAGCAGGGAGATGTGAGGAAGCGAGCAGGGAGATGTGAGGAAGCGCGCAGGGAGATGTGAGGAAGCGCGCAGGGAGATGTGAGGAAGCGAGCAGGGAGATGTGAGGAAGCGAGCAGGGAGATGTGAGGAAGCGAGCAGGGAGATGTGAGGAAGCGAGCAGGGAGATGTGAGGAAGCGAGCAGGGAGATGTGAGGAAGCGAGCAGGGAGATGTGAGGAAGCGAGCAGGGAGATGTGAGGAAGCGAGCAGGGAGATGTGAGGAAGCGAGCAGGGAGATGTGAGGAAGCGAGCAGGGAGATGTGAGGAAGCGAGCAGGGAGATGTGAGGAAGCGAGCAGGGAGATGTGAGGAAGCGAGCAGGGAGATGTGAGGAAGCGAGCAGGGAGATGTGAGGAAGCGAGCAGGGAGATGTGAGGAAGCGAGCAGGGAGATGTGAGGAAGCGAGCAGGGAGATGTGAGGAAGCGAGCAGGGAGATGTGAGGAAGCGAGCAGGGAGATGTGAGGAAGCGAGCAGGGAGATGTGAGGAAGCGAGCAGGGAGATGTGAGGAAGCGAGCAGGGAGATGTGAGGAAGCGAGCAGGGAGATGTGAGGAAGCGAGCAGGGAGATGTGAGGAAGCGAGCAGGGAGATGTGAGGAAGCGAGCAGGGAGATGTGAGGAAGCGAGCAGGGAGATGTGAGGAAGCGAGCAGGGAGATGTGAGGAAGCGAGCAGGGAGATGTGAGGAAGCGAGCAGGGAGATGTGAGGAAGCGAGCAGGGAGATGTGAGGAAGCGAGCAGGGAGATGTGAGGAAGCGAGCAGGGAGATGTGAGGAAGCGAGCAGGGAGATGTGAGGAAGCGAGCAGGGAGATGTGAGGAAGCGAGCAGGGAGATGTGAGGAAGCGAGCAGGGAGATGTGAGGAAGCGAGCAGGGAGATGTGAGGAAGCGAGCAGGGAGATGTGAGGAAGCGAGCAGGGAGATGTGAGGAAGCGAGCAGGGAGATGTGAGGAAGCGAGCAGGGAGATGTGAGGAAGCGAGCAGGGAGATGTGAGGAAGCGCGCAGGGAGATGTGAGGAAGCGAGCAGGGAGATGTGAGGAAGCGAGCAGGGAGATGTGAGGAAGCGAGCAGGGAGATGTGAGGAAGCGCGCAGGGAGATGTGAGGAAGCGCGCAGGGAGATGTGAGGAAGCGAGCAGGGAGATGTGAGGAAGCGCGCAGGGAGATGTGAGGAAGCGAGCAGGGAGATGTGAGGAAGCGAGCAGGGAGATGTGAGGAAGCGAGCAGGGAGATGTGAGGAAGCGAGCAGGGAGATGTGAGGAAGCGAGCAGGGAGATGTGAGGAAGCGAGCAGGGAGATGTGAGGAAGCGAGCAGGGAGATGTGAGGAAGCGAGCAGGGAGATGTGAGGAAGCGAGCAGGGAGATGTGAGGAAGCGAGCAGGGAGATGTGAGGAAGCGAGCAGGGAGATGTGAGGAAGCGAGCAGGGAGATGTGAGGAAGCGAGCAGGGAGATGTGAGGAAGCGAGCAGGGAGATGTGAGGAAGCGAGCAGGGAGATGTGAGGAAGCGAGCAGGGAGATGTGAGGAAGCGAGCAGGGAGATGTGAGGAAGCGAGCAGGGAGATGTGAGGAAGCGAGCAGGGAGATGTGAGGAAGCGAGCAGGGAGATGTGAGGAAGCGAGCAGGGAGATGTGAGGAAGCGAGCAGGGAGATGTGAGGAAGCGAGCAGGGAGATGTGAGGAAGCGAGCAGGGAGATGTGAGGAAGCGAGCAGGGAGATGTGAGGAAGCGAGCAGGGAGATGTGAGGAAGCGAGCAGGGAGATGTGAGGAAGCGAGCAGGGAGATGTGAGGAAGCGAGCAGGGAGATGTGAGGAAGCGAGCAGGGAGATGTGAGGAAGCGAGCAGGGAGATGTGAGGAAGCGAGCAGGGAGATGTGAGGAAGCGAGCAGGGAGATGTGAGGAAGCGAGCAGGGAGATGTGAGGAAGCGAGCAGGGAGATGTGAGGAAGCGAGCAGGGAGATGTGAGGAAGCGAGCAGGGAGATGTGAGGAAGCGAGCAGGGAGATGTGAGGAAGCGAGCAGGGAGATGTGAGGAAGCGAGCAGGGAGATGTGAGGAAGCGAGCAGGGAGATGTGAGGAAGCGAGCAGGGAGATGTGAGGAAGCGAGCAGGGAGATGTGAGGAAGCGAGCAGGGAGATGTGAGGAAGCGAGCAGGGAGATGTGAGGAAGCGAGCAGGGAGATGTGAGGAAGCGAGCAGGGAGATGTGAGGAAGCGAGCAGGGAGATGTGAGGAAGCGAGCAGGGAGATGTGAGGAAGCGAGCAGGGAGATGTGAGGAAGCGAGCAGGGAGATGTGAGGAAGCGAGCAGGGAGATGTGAGGAAGCGAGCAGGGAGATGTGAGGAAGCGAGCAGGGAGATGTGAGGAAGCGAGCAGGGAGATGTGAGGAAGCGAGCAGGGAGATGTGAGGAAGCGAGCAGGGAGATGTGAGGAAGCGAGCAGGGAGATGTGAGGAAGCGAGCAGGGAGATGTGAGGAAGCGAGCAGGGAGATGTGAGGAAGCGAGCAGGGAGATGTGAGGAAGCGAGCAGGGAGATGTGAGGAAGCGAGCAGGGAGATGTGAGGAAGCGAGCAGGGAGATGTGAGGAAGCGAGCAGGGAGATGTGAGGAAGCGAGCAGGGAGATGTGAGGAAGCGAGCAGGGAGATGTGAGGAAGCGAGCAGGGAGATGTGAGGAAGCGAGCAGGGAGATGTGAGGAAGCGAGCAGGGAGATGTGAGGAAGCGAGCAGGGAGATGTGAGGAAGCGAGCAGGGAGATGTGAGGAAGCGAGCAGGGAGATGTGAGGAAGCGAGCAGGGAGATGTGAGGAAGCGAGCAGGGAGATGTGAGGAAGCGAGCAGGGAGATGTGAGGAAGCGAGCAGGGAGATGTGAGGAAGCGAGCAGGGAGATGTGAGGAAGCGAGCAGGGAGATGTGAGGAAGCGAGCAGGGAGATGTGAGGAAGCGAGCAGGGAGATGTGAGGAAGCGAGCAGGGAGATGTGAGGAAGCGAGCAGGGAGATGTGAGGAAGCGAGCAGGGAGATGTGAGGAAGCGAGCAGGGAGATGTGAGGAAGCGAGCAGGGAGATGTGAGGAAGCGAGCAGGGAGATGTGAGGAAGCGAGCAGGGAGATGTGAGGAAGCGAGCAGGGAGATGTGAGGAAGCGAGCAGGGAGATGTGAGGAAGCGAGCAGGGAGATGTGAGGAAGCGAGCAGGGAGATGTGAGGAAGCGAGCAGGGAGATGTGAGGAAGCGAGCAGGGAGATGTGAGGAAGCGCGCAGGGAGATGTGAGGAAGCGAGCAGGGAGATGTGAGGAAGCGAGCAGGGAGATGTGAGGAAGCGAGCAGGGAGATGTGAGGAAGCGAGCAGGGAGATGTGAGGAAGCGAGCAGGGAGATGTGAGGAAGCGAGCAGGGAGATGTGAGGAAGCGAGCAGGGAGATGTGAGGAAGCGAGCAGGGAGATGTGAGGAAGCGAGCAGGGAGATGTGAGGAAGCGAGCAGGGAGATGTGAGGAAGCGAGCAGGGAGATGTGAGGAAGCGAGCAGGGAGATGTGAGGAAGCGAGCAGGGAGATGTGAGGAAGCGAGCAGGGAGATGTGAGGAAGCGAGCAGGGAGATGTGAGGAAGCGAGCAGGGAGATGTGAGGAAGCGAGCAGGGAGATGTGAGGAAGCGAGCAGGGAGATGTGAGGAAGCGAGCAGGGAGATGTGAGGAAGCGAGCAGGGAGATGTGAGGAAGCGAGCAGGGAGATGTGAGGAAGCGAGCAGGGAGATGTGAGGAAGCGAGCAGGGAGATGTGAGGAAGCGAGCAGGGAGATGTGAGGAAGCGAGCAGGGAGATGTGAGGAAGCGAGCAGGGAGATGTGAGGAAGCGAGCAGGGAGATGTGAGGAAGCGAGCAGGGAGATGTGAGGAAGCGAGCAGGGAGATGTGAGGAAGCGAGCAGGGAGATGTGAGGAAGCGAGCAGGGAGATGTGAGGAAGCGAGCAGGGAGATGTGAGGAAGCGAGCAGGGAGATGTGAGGAAGCGAGCAGGGAGATGTGAGGAAGCGAGCAGGGAGATGTGAGGAAGCGAGCAGGGAGATGTGAGGAAGCGAGCAGGGAGATGTGAGGAAGCGCGCAGGGAGATGTGAGGAAGCGAGCAGGGAGATGTGAGGAAGCGAGCAGGGAGATGTGAGGAAGCGAGCAGGGAGATGTGAGGAAGCGAGCAGGGAGATGTGAGGAAGCGAGCAGGGAGATGTGAGGAAGCGAGCAGGGAGATGTGAGGAAGCGAGCAGGGAGATGTGAGGAAGCGAGCAGGGAGATGTGAGGAAGCGAGCAGGGAGATGTGAGGAAGCGCGCAGGGAGATGTGAGGAAGCGCGCAGGGAGATGTGAGGAAGCGCGCAGGGAGATGTGAGGAAGCGCGCAGGGAGATGTGAGGAAGCGCGCAGGGAGATGTGAGGAAGCGAGCAGGGAGATGTGAGGAAGCGAGCAGGGAGATGTGAGGAAGCGAGCAGGGAGATGTGAGGAAGCGAGCAGGGAGATGTGAGGAAGCGAGCAGGGAGATGTGAGGAAGCGAGCAGGGAGATGTGAGGAAGCGAGCAGGGAGATGTGAGGAAGCGAGCAGGGAGATGTGAGGAAGCGAGCAGGGAGATGTGAGGAAGCGAGCAGGGAGATGTGAGGAAGCGAGCAGGGAGATGTGAGGAAGCGAGCAGGGAGATGTGAGGAAGCGAGCAGGGAGATGTGAGGAAGCGAGCAGGGAGATGTGAGGAAGCGAGCAGGGAGATGTGAGGAAGCGAGCAGGGAGATGTGAGGAAGCGAGCAGGGAGATGTGAGGAAGCGAGCAGGGAGATGTGAGGAAGCGAGCAGGGAGATGTGAGGAAGCGAGCAGGGAGATGTGAGGAAGCGAGCAGGGAGATGTGAGGAAGCGAGCAGGGAGATGTGAGGAAGCGAGCAGGGAGATGTGAGGAAGCGAGCAGGGAGATGTGAGGAAGCGAGCAGGGAGATGTGAGGAAGCGAGCAGGGAGATGTGAGGAAGCGAGCAGGGAGATGTGAGGAAGCGAGCAGGGAGATGTGAGGAAGCGAGCAGGGAGATGTGAGGAAGCGAGCAGGGAGATGTGAGGAAGCGAGCAGGGAGATGTGAGGAAGCGAGCAGGGAGATGTGAGGAAGCGAGCAGGGAGATGTGAGGAAGCGAGCAGGGAGATGTGAGGAAGCGAGCAGGGAGATGTGAGGAAGCGCGCAGGGAGATGTGAGGAAGCGAGCAGGGAGATGTGAGGAAGCGAGCAGGGAGATGTGAGGAAGCGAGCAGGGAGATGTGAGGAAGCGAGCAGGGAGATGTGAGGAAGCGAGCAGGGAGATGTGAGGAAGCGAGCAGGGAGATGTGAGGAAGCGAGCAGGGAGATGTGAGGAAGCGAGCAGGGAGATGTGAGGAAGCGAGCAGGGAGATGTGAGGAAGCGAGCAGGGAGATGTGAGGAAGCGAGCAGGGAGATGTGAGGAAGCGAGCAGGGAGATGTGAGGAAGCGAGCAGGGAGATGTGAGGAAGCGAGCAGGGAGATGTGAGGAAGCGAGCAGGGAGATGTGAGGAAGCGAGCAGGGAGATGTGAGGAAGCGAGCAGGGAGATGTGAGGAAGCGAGCAGGGAGATGTGAGGAAGCGAGCAGGGAGATGTGAGGAAGCGAGCAGGGAGATGTGAGGAAGCGAGCAGGGAGATGTGAGGAAGCGAGCAGGGAGATGTGAGGAAGCGAGCAGGGAGATGTGAGGAAGCGAGCAGGGAGATGTGAGGAAGCGAGCAGGGAGATGTGAGGAAGCGAGCAGGGAGATGTGAGGAAGCGAGCAGGGAGATGTGAGGAAGCGAGCAGGGAGATGTGAGGAAGCGAGCAGGGAGATGTGAGGAAGCGAGCAGGGAGATGTGAGGAAGCGAGCAGGGAGATGTGAGGAAGCGAGCAGGGAGATGTGAGGAAGCGAGCAGGGAGATGTGAGGAAGCGAGCAGGGAGATGTGAGGAAGCGAGCAGGGAGATGTGAGGAAGCGAGCAGGGAGATGTGAGGAAGCGAGCAGGGAGATGTGAGGAAGCGAGCAGGGAGATGTGAGGAAGCGCGCAGGGAGATGTGAGGAAGCGAGCAGGGAGATGTGAGGAAGCGAGCAGGGAGATGTGAGGAAGCGAGCAGGGAGATGTGAGGAAGCGAGCAGGGAGATGTGAGGAAGCGAGCAGGGAGATGTGAGGAAGCGAGCAGGGAGATGTGAGGAAGCGAGCAGGGAGATGTGAGGAAGCGAGCAGGGAGATGTGAGGAAGCGCGCAGGGAGATGTGAGGAAGCGCGCAGGGAGATGTGAGGAAGCGCGCAGGGAGATGTGAGGAAGCGCGCAGGGAGATGTGAGGAAGCGCGCAGGGAGATGTGAGGAAGCGAGCAGGGAGATGTGAGGAAGCGAGCAGGGAGATGTGAGGAAGCGCGCAGGGAGATGTGAGGAAGCGCGCAGGGAGATGTGAGGAAGCGCGCAGGGAGATGTGAGGAAGCGCGCAGGGAGATGTGAGGAAGCGCGCAGGGAGATGTGAGGAAGCGCGCAGGGAGATGTGAGGAAGCGCGCAGGGAGATGTGAGGAAGCGCGCAGGGAGATGTGAGGAAGCGCGCAGGGAGATGTGAGGAAGCGCGCAGGGAGATGTGAGGAAGCGCGCAGGGAGATGTGAGGAAGCGAGGGAGATGTGAGGAAGCGAGGGAGATGTGAGGAAGCGAGGGAGATGTGAGGAAGCGAGGGGAGATGTGAGGACAACGATAGTGTGAGGACAACGGATAGTACATTAATTAGATATGATTCTTGGTCACGATTTAAAATTTGAAAGCAGTACAAACACTTTCTCATTTTTAGAGAAACGTGTTTCTTTCTGATTACCTATGCGAGTTTTAGCGAGAACACACGATACCTGCCTAGTCGCACGCGCCCACACTGACTTGCTTGCGTAGGTGTATCTCCATCGAGATCGCCGAGCCGCAGATGAGGGACGTTTTGGCGAACATGGATCGGCCCTGCGGCAGGTCATGGAATGGGCTCCACCAACCAGCGCACTAGCCACCATTCCCCCCACCGCCTGCTTACGTGGCTTGTAGGGCTCCCCACCCCAAGCCTGGAAACTGGAAGGGAACAAGACGGGATGACGAGTTCTCGAGATTGAGAAACAGGTGATGGGATCATACCCCTTAGTACCGAAAGTAAACGAACTGAATCGTACTGCAAACAGAGCATTTACTCAGCATCTGCTTCATGAGGGCCTGTAACTGAGCCAGACGAATTCACCGCTCGACTTTCGATTATTTTTAGGCGATTACCTGGGAGGAAAACGGATGCAAACTACGATTGTATCTAGTTACTTCCACGATTGCAGTGTGTCACTCAAGACTACGTTTTTGTCTGTCTCCGGGCTCTCTACTACCTTATTTGCATTTGCAGCCACTGGGAACCTAGACTGCGAGTTTCCCATTGAGAGGAAGTAAGAGAGAGCAAGAGTGGATCTGCGTTATCGCTGCCTCGACCGAACAACCTTCCATCCGAATAAGCACTTTTTTTCTATATATAGGCAACGCTGTGTATCTTCGCGCGTGACACGGCCATGTAGAGCCTTCGTTTGCGATCCAGTGACGTTCCTTCAAGCAAGTCACTCGTCGCTGAAGCAGCGATGTCAGGACTACGAGAAGAGTGGACGTTAGACCCCACCAATCACGTACGATGTTACACTGTTACCACCAAATCTCGTCGAATCTCGCTATCCCCGATTCTTCTGGCAACTCTTCTGATCCTAGGTTCCTTCTCTGTAGCCTCCAGTGATACCAACAGTAGCGAGGAGAAGTCGAAAGGAGACGAGGTAAAATCCGGCGATCATCCGCAAGGGATATGGGAACGAATTGTTTCAGGAGCGTTAGGAATCGATCAGGAAATGGAGGAGATTGAGAAGAGCCTGGGAATTGGGGGTAGCAATTCCAAAGAGAAACAGCCGTCTACCCGGACAGAATCGGATGGGGGAACGAATGTAACCGGGAATTCGGGAAGCCGAGGGGATGGAAAAGCGGAAGATTCGAAATCGCACGGCGAGGATGAAAAGGAGGAGGTCGAGGAGAAAGAGACGGTCCAGATGCTCGCTGACGGAGATGCGGACGGGATTCCGATCCTGATTGGCGTGAAGGAGCCGAAAAAGGAATCTAAGAGTAAGAAAGCTGAGGAGGAATCGAAGAAGGTAGAAGGAGGGGGGAAAGACGACAAGGAGAAGGAGAAAGGGAAGGATAAAGGAGAGGAGAAGGGGAAAGCTGGGGCAAAGGAGGGAGACGTAGGAGCAGGAACAGGAGACGGAAAGGCTGGGAAGGAGAGCGCGAGCGCAGCTGATGATAACCCGGATCAGTACGAAGGGGAGGAGGGCGATGCCGCGCAGAAGAAGGCGAAAGGCGGCGGGAAGAAGGGCGGCAAAGGCGAGAACGTCGGTGAAATGATGGAGAAGATTCTGGAGAGACTGGATGACATGGAAGGCGAGGGGGGGAAGTTCAACGAAACCCTAGAAAAGCAGGAGGCGGTTTTGGAGACAGTGGCGCGGGTGGGGAAGCACCACGTGCACGAGAAGGAGGAGAAGGAGCGGGAGGAGCGGGAGAAGGCGGAGCAGGAGGAGGCGGAGAGGGAAGCGGAGCTGAAGGCCAAGCAGGAAGCGGAAGCAGCTGCTGCTGCGGCGAAGAACAGCTGGGACGGAGGGGTGACCGGCGGTGGAGAGCGGTCGTTCTTCGATATTCTCCTGGGGATAGACGCTGCTCCGCCACCTCCTCCCCCGCCGCGCCCCACGCCTAAGAACGTCACTAAAGCGTCAGCTAAAAACGAGACCAAGAAAGAGCAGGAGGCGGAGCAGGAGGACGAAAAGGACGTCCCCAGGCTCATAGACTCCCAGGATAACGAATACGTTATAAGCAGCCCCGGTAAAGGGTCCAAGATGCAGCTGCAGGAGGATTTCACCCTCATTTCGGACATTGTGAAGGTGATAGTGGCGGCGGCACTGGGCGGGCTGGCGTGCGGGCTGATGGGGCAGCCCATCATCCTGGGATACATCGTTGCTGGCATGGCCATTGGGCCGGGCGGACTGGGGCTTATCCACGAGCTCGTACAGGTTAGTAAGATTACCGCATGATATTGCTTAGTAGGGTTACCACATTTTTATTACAAGGTGGTGTGTCCTGGGAGGTCTGGTGTGCGGATGGATGGGGCGCTTTAGGTTACTGCATGAGTGTTGTTACAGAGCGGTCAGTAGGGTTACCACATGGTTGGAGGACAGTTGGGTTGTTATGAGGGCGTTACAGACAGCCTATAGCCTAGAGCGGTCAGAAAGTAGGGTTACCACAAGGCGACAATATGGTTACCACATGGTGGACATTAGGGTTACCATACCACAAGGCGGAGGACAGTAGGGTTACCACATGGTGGAGGACAGTAGGGTTACCACATGGCGGAGGACAGTAGGGTTACCACGTGGTGGAGGACAGTAGGGCTACCACATGGCGGAGGACAGTAGGGTTACCACATGGTGGAGGACAGTAGGGTTACCACATGGTGGAGGGCAATCGGGTTACCACATGTGCTGGCCAATAGCGTTATCACATAGTCTGTTTCAGAACAGTGAGAGTTGGGATGACATGTGAGTTTGTGATAGTGAGTGGGGTGAAGCTGATGGGAGTTCAGCCTAGCCGATATGCAGGGAGTGCACACTCTCCTCTCCATCCCACCCTCATGTCCCTTCTCTCCCTCATCTCTCTCTCCTCCTCTCGGCACTCTGCAGGTGGAAACCCTAGGCCAGTTCGGAGTGATGTTCCTGCTGTTCGCGCTGGGAGTGGAGTTCAGCCTCGCCAAAATTGCAGGGGGTGCACAACGTCGCGCTGGGCACAATCCCCACTTATTCGCCCTCCTCTCCTTCCTCTCCCTCCTCTCCTTCCTCTCCCTGGCTTGCAGGTGGAAACCCTAGCCCAGTTCGGAGTGGTGTTCCTGCTGTTCGCCCTGGGCGTGGAGATCAGCCTGGCCAAGATGCAGGGCGTGCACAACGCGGCTCCAAAGCACACTTTGACGCACTAGCAACGTGTCATTCCCCCTCTTCTCACGCACTCCCTTACCTGCTGCAGGTTGAGACACTAGCCCAGTTCGGAGTGGTGTTCCTTCTCTTCGCCCTGGGAGTCGAGTTCAGCCTGGCCAAGATGCAGGGCGTGCACAACGTGCCTCCAAAGCACACGCACACCCCCGCCTCTCCCTCCTCTCCCGCATCTCCCTCCTCCCCCTCCTCTTTCCGTCCTATGCAGGTGGAAACCCTAGCCCAGTTCGGAGTTGTCTTCTTGCTCTTCGCCCTGGGCGTGGAGTTCAGCCTCGCCAAGATGCAGGGCGTGCACAACGTCGCGCTGGGTGGCGGAGTGCTGCAGATCCTCATCGCCATGATTCTCGGCGGCATCTTCTCCTCCAACACCCCGCAGGGGCTCTTCATAGGTGGGAATCTTGGTTAAGGGCCTAGCTAGTGGTGCCTGTAGCAGCAAGGAGTGCTGCAGATCCTCATCGCCATGATTCTCGGCGGCATCTTCTCCTCCAACACCCCGCAGGGGCTCTTCATAGGTGCGCGTCTGGGTCAGGCAGCCAGGGCTTGCTATTGCCACATGGGACTCCTTGCCACTTGTCAAGGGCTTAGCTGGTGGTGCCCATAGCAGCAAGTTGTGCTGCCAATCCCCTTAGACGTTACTCATGATTCTGGGCGGCTGGGCTGCATCTTCAACTGCAGCACACCCCAGGGACTCTTATAGGTGCGAGTCTGTAGGGGAAACGGAGCCAGGGCTAGGTGTGTGTGGCTGGCTCTAGGGCTTTGGCAACGATGCCTGTAGCCTTAATTCTGTCTGAGCGGCAACTGCAGCTCCAACAAGCCCCGCGGACTCTACATTGGTGCGAGTTGGCACTAATCAGAGGCAGCCCAGTGGGTACATGGGGTTCTTAGACAGGTTTTCGTTCGCGCCCAGGACTCTGTCGCCCTCCCCACCAGCGTCCAAACACCACGCACCATCCAGCTTCCGTGCTCCCCCTGTGTTCCAGGTTGTTCTTTCCCCCTTCTCTCTCCCCTCCTCTCTCCGCTTTTTCCCTCGCTCCTCTCCACCCAGCACTCCCAACGCCCATCAGGCAGCTGCCTATCCCTGTCGATCATAGTGATAATCTCCAAGTGAATCACTTCCCCGTGTTCACCCCACCCATTCCTCTCCGCTTCACCCCTGCGGTTACTTGTAAATTCTCCTTCCTAGCTCCCCCAACCCCATCCAGGCGGCGCCCTGTCCATGTCATTCAGAGCCATGGTGCCCCGTCTCCTCACCTCTTCCCGTTCCCCTCCCCCCCCCTCTCCCGCTCCCCCACCAACTCCTCTTCGCAACCAGGGTGCTACCTCTCCATGTCCTCCACAGTGGTGGTGCTCAAGCGTCTTATTCCCCGATCTTTGTGTCTGCTCCGCCACCCCTCTCGTGGTCTCTTCCTCCCGTCCCCTCATACCCAGGCGGTCTCCTCTCCATGTCATCAACAGCAGTGGTGCTCAAGTGCCTTGTTCCACCCCTTCTCCCCCAACCCTTGCTCCCGCTTTCCCCCTCCCTCTGCTCAAACCAGGCGGCTTCCTCTCCATGTCCTCCACAACGGTGGTGCTCAAGTGCCTCCTTTCCCCTTGCCCCTGCTCTCAACCCCACCCTCATTCCCCCTTCCCCCCCTCCCCTTCTTACCCATCAGGCGGCTTCCTCTCCATGTCCTCCACAGCCGTGGTGCTCAAGTGCCTGGTGGACATCAATGGCTTCAACTCCGAGCACGGCCAGGTGCAGTGCGGTGGGGCGTGGTTGGAAGGGGCATGGGCAGGTGTTGTGGGTTCGGTACGGCCAGGTGCTGTGGAGTGGAGGAAGGAGGCACGGCCATGTGCAGTGCAGTGCGGTGGTTGAAGAGTGCACGGCCAGGTCCACTGGGGGATGGGGGTTTGGGTTGAAGGAGGCTGGTATGGTTTGGTTCAGGGTTGAGGCAGAAGGGTCTAGCATGGTTGGAGAAGGCATGAGCAGGTGTGGAGGGGCAAGGCTCAGCATGCAGGGCTGTGTGCTCTGCCTGCTCTTGTTCAGATGCCACCACTTCTTGTCAACTCTACAGCTCCCCCACCCTTTGAACCCCCTCCCTCCTCCTCCACCCGCCCAAACTCCTTTCCCCTCCCCAACTTCTCCCCCCCTCCCCCCCCCCCCCCCCCCCCCCCCCCCTCCACAACCCCCCCAGGTCATGCTGGGCACGCTCATAGCACAGGATTGCGCCCTCGGCCTGCTCCGACTCAGTTCCCAGCGCTTCCCCCTCTCACTCCCCTCGTTTCTTCTCCCCTCCCCCCCACCCTCCTCACCCTCTCACCCCCCCACTCTCCCCCCCTCCCCCCCCCCCACCAGATCATGCTGGGCACGCTCATAGCACAGGACTGCGCCCTGGGCCTGCTCCTCGCAATCATGCCAGCACTCGCTGCCCGCCCCGCATCCGCCTCCGCCATCCTCCTGGCCCTCGTGCGCGAGCTGCTCATCCTGCTCGCCTTCTGCCTCGTCGCCTGGGCGCTCTCCCGCCTGCTCGTGCCGCGCTTCCTGCGCCTCCTCGTGCGCGTGAGCAGAGGCAACAACGAGCTCTACCAGCTGGGCATCATGGGGAATTGTCTGTGCGTTGCACTTCTCTCGGAGTATTTGGGCCTCTCACTGGAAGTCGGGGCGTTTATTGCCGGTCTCATGCTCTCAGGTGCGTGCTCGTCTCTGCATTGCATGCATGTGTGTTGTTGCTACATGTATGCATGTGCATGTTTCCACCTGCTCGTGCCTCCTCGTGCGTGTGTCGCGGGGCAACAACGAGCTCTACCAACTCGGCATCATGGGCAACTGCCTCTGCGTTGCACTCCTGTCAGAGTATCTCGGCCTCTCGCTGGAAGTGGGGGCGTTTATCGCTGGCCTCATGCTCTCAGGTGCGTGCTTGCCGCTACGTGCATGTACATCTCTCCCGCCTGCTCGTGCCGCGCTTCCTGCGCCTCCTCGTGCGCGTGTCCCGGGGCAACAACGAGCTCTACCAGCTGGGCATCATGGGCAACTGCCTCTGCGTTGCTCTGCTCTCAGATTATCTCGGCCTGTCGCTGGAAGTCGGGGCGTTTATTGCTGGCCTCATGCTCTCAGGTGCGTGCCTGAGGTGGCTGAATGCATGTCATGTGTATAAGATGCCTAGTGGGGCGTATCAAGGGGCAACGAGCAGCTGTACCAGCTGGGCATCATGGGAAACTGCCTCTGTGTGGCTCTGCTGTCGGAATACCTGGGGTTATCTCTGGAAGTTGGGGCGTTTATTGCCAGCCTCATGTTCTCAGGTGCGTGCTAGGGGTGGTTGGTTACATGCATGTGTGTATGTGCTGCTGTCTGAAAGGCGTGTGTCCCGGGGCAACAACGAGCTCTACCAGCTGGGCATCATGGGCAACTGCTTGTGTGTGGCGCTGCTCTCAGAGTATCTCGGCCTGTCTCTAGAGGTCGGGGCTTTTATTGCTGGCCTCGTGCTCTCACGTGCGTGCTTGATGTGGCTACACGTATGTGTATTTCTATGTGCCGTTGTCACGGGCAACTGCGTCTGCCTCGGCCTCTGGCACAACTCAACCTTCCGTCCCCCTCCCCCTCACTCCCCTGACCTTGCAGGCGGCACCTACAGCGAGCGCACCTTACATCAGGTGGAGCCCGTGCGCAACATGTTTGCGGCGCTCTTCCTCAAATCCGTCGGCATGGTGATGCACCTCATGTTCCTCTTCCTCTGCCTCTGCCTCTGCCTCTGCCTCTGCCTCTGCCTCTGCCTCTGCCTCTGCCTCTGCCTCTTCCTTTGCCTCTTTCTCTGCCACAGGCGGCACCTACAGTGAACGAACACTCCATTAGGTGGAGCCCGTGCGCAACATGTTTGCGGCGCTCTTCCTGGCGTCCATCGGCATGGTGATGCACGAACATTGACACCCTTTATCCCTCTTTGCCCATGCAACAACCCTCCAGGTGGCACCTACAGCGAGCGAACACTGCACCAAGTGGAGCCGGTGCGCAACATGTTTGCGGCGCTCTTCCTGGCGTCCATAGGCATGGTGATGCACCCCATGTTCCTCTGGCAGCACAAGGACATTCTGCTGCTCGCGCTTGCCGTCGTGTTCCTTGGCAAGACGCTGCTGGTTGCTCTCGTGGTGAGTCAGGGCACAGGGCAGGGTGCGCAGGGGAGTGGTGATGCACCCCATGTTCCTCTGGCAGCACAAGGACATTCTGCTGCTCGCGCTTGCCGTCGTGTTTCTTGGCAAGACGCTGCTGGTTGCTCTTGTGGTGAGTCAGGGCACAGGGCCGGGCAGGGTGCGCAGGGGAGTGGTGATGCACCCCATGTTCCTCTGGCAGCACAAGGACATTCTGCTGCTCGCCCTCGCTGTTGTCTTCCTTGGCAAAACACTGCTGGTTGCTCTCGTGGTGAGTTAGGGAGTGGGGACGGTATGGCAGGGAGGGGGAATGGGGCACAGCACAGGGTTGCCATCGGCATGGTGATGCACCCCATGTTCCTCTGGCAGCACAAGGACATTCTGCTGCTCGCCCTTGCCATTGTATTCCTGGGGAAAACGCTGCTCGTTGCCCTCGTGGTAAGGGGGATGGTGGGGAGTGGGATGGGCCACACACAACACAGGGTGGGCATGGGCATGGTGATGCACCCCATGTTCCTCTGGCAGCACAAGGACATTCTGCTGCTCGCCCTCGCTGTTGTCTTCCTAGGAGAAACAATTCATGCTGCTCTTGTGGTAAGGCCAAGAGCCGGGATGCTTGTGTTGTGAGGTAGGGTGAGTCTTTAACAGCCCACATTCTGTCCACATCCCTGGAGCATAGCATAGCAGTCACTGTGGATCCAGTCAGTCAATCTGACTTGGCATTTCTGGTGGCTCACTCCCCTCCCCCTTCCACTCAGTAGCTCACATTTCCACCTGGTCCTTACTCAGTGCCGGCACGGCAACACCACTCGGTCTGTGCTTGCCCACATCACAACACAAGCTAGGGGCTTTTCCTAGTAAAGAGGGAGAGCCCCGAGCGTATTCTTCTTTCCAATCCGAGTTCCCTCTCTCCTCCCCCTTTCCCAGTCACCCCCATTCAACAGGTTGGTGGATTCAGCATTAGTACAGGCACGACAGCAGCGGTGAATGCCGCACTCTAATTGGGACTCCCCATCCCCCTTCCCCCTCCCCCTTCCCCTTGTCCCTTCCCCTTTTCCATCCCCCCTCTCCCCTCTCCCCTCTCCCTCTTTACTAGGTCCGTGGCTTTGGCTACAGTGCAGGCACGGCAGCAGCTGTAGGAATAGCACTGGCACAGATAGGGGAATTCTCCTTCGTCCTCCTGTCCCGCGCGCAAACCCTCAAGCTGGTGGGGCACAAGCTGTACCTGCTGCTCATGGGCACCACTGCGCTCTCCCTCGTGCTCACGCCCTCTGCACTCCACCCCATCCCCTCGCCCTTTTCCTCCCCCCCCTACTCTCTCTCCATCATAACCAGGTCCGGAGCTTTGGCTACAGTGCAGGAACCGCAGCAGCTGTAGGAATAGCACTGGCACAGATAGGGGAATTCTCCTTCGTCCTCCTGTCCCGCGCGCAAACCCTCAAGCTGGTGGGGCACAAGCTGTACCTGCTGCTCATGGGCACCACTGCGCTCTCCCTCGTGCTCACGCCCTCTGCACTCCACCCCATCCCCTCGCCCTTTTCCTCCCCCCCCTACTCTCTCTCCATCATAACCAGGTCCGGAGCTTTGGCTACAGTGCAGGAACCGCAGCAGCTGTAGGAATAGCACTGGCGCAGATCGGCGAGTTCTCCTTCGTCCTCCTCTCGCGTGCGCAAACCCTCAAGCTGGTGGGGCACAAGCTGTACCTGCTGCTCATGGGCACCACCGCGCTCTCCTCTCCCTCGTGCCCACGCCCTCTTCTCTCCACCCCCTGCCTCCTCCCTTACCCCCCATTCCCCCTCCCCTCCACTCACCAGGTCCGGGGCTTTGGCTACAGTGCAGGCACGGCAGCAGCGGTGGGCATAGCTTTGGCCCAAATCGGCGAGTTCTCCTTTGTCCTCCTGTCGCGCGCCCAAACCCTCAAGCTGGTGGGGCACAAGCTGTATTTGCTGCTCATGGGCACCACCGCGCTCTCCCTCGTCCTCACGCCCTTCGCCTTCAAGCTTGTTCCTCGCCTTGCCGCCATTGGTGCCCACCAGGACCGCGCCCGGCTGCTCAAGAGCAAGAGTATTGTGTCGCCTGGAGGGGCGGGGGGAGGGGGAGGCGGGGGGAAAGGCGGTGGCGGTGGGGGCGGGATGGGCGGAGGAGGAGGGTCGGGGTTGCCTGTGAGTGTGAGTGGGGGTGGGAGTGGTGGTGGGGGAGGTGGGGGTGGGGGTGTGGCAGGAGCAGGGGGGGCGGCAGGAGCGGGTGCAGCGTATGGTGCGTTCGGGGGTTTGCTGAACGGGGTTGCTGGTGTGCTCTCCCCTCGCTCTGCTGCTGCTGCGGCTGCTGCCGCTGCTGCTGCTGCTGGGGAAACGCAGGTGCTTCTAGCAGTTGATTCTGACCCGCATTCAGGGGCCAACATTCACCACCACCACCACCACAACCACCACCATCCCTCACACAACCCCCAAGGCCTCCCTTCTCACCATCACCACCTTCCCCCAGCCCACCCGCACCATTATCCCTCGCAGCATTACGGCACCGCAACAGCAGCCCACGAATCCCTAAGACCTAGAAACCCGGCTAAAGCTGCTGATTCAGGGGGTAGAAGTATCGTAAGGGCATCGGATTCTGGGGGTAGTTCGGGATCTGGTTGCGCAAACGACTGGGGCTTATCTGAGGATTTCTTTTATGAAAGGGGCAGTCTGGAGAATCGAGGAGGCCCGGGGGCAGGTTCGGGAGGTGGCTTGGCTGGAGCAGGTTTGGGATCTAGCTCCGTGGCTGTACCAGGCTCGTCAAGCGCAGGGTTGATGTCTCCACCCGCCCGAAGTTTGTCTCCAACAGCTTCGGTAACACAGCGGTCTCCCAAGCCTGCAACAGGCCAGGTTCGGAGAGTGGCTCAGGTGGCAGGTCAGAGCCCTCGAGGGGGTATTGCGGTGACCAGTAACACTGGCAGCCCCATGAAAGCATTCGCTTTGCTGGGAACTGTGGAAGAGGGAGGAGCAGGGAGACGAGAAGAGCGGGAGGAGGGAGGAGGAGGGCCGTTCCAATATGCGTCTAGCTCTGGGTTCTTTTCGAGGTGGGGCGTTAAAGGGGCGTCGCATCAGCAAAAGAAGGAGATGGCACACCAGTCATGATCGTAGTGTCAAACAATTTGCGAACTGGTTTACTATTGGATGGTGATTACACACACGAGCCTTGTATTTCCGACATGCCAATCCATACTGAAGAATTTGGATTACACATGCTGAGTACAAAGGGCTTTTTCAAATCAGTTCATGAGACCTGCCTGTTCAAGCCTGTCATATACATTGAATCTGATGATGTAAGGTGCGGTTATATTATGATATTACTCCAACAACATGCGCTGGAGATAGAAAGGAATGACCAAGGCACAGCCCAGTGAATCCTGGTTCTTCCATGCTCAAGCTTCAAGAAGCAGCAGCAGTCGTTGACTTGACAGCAACCCAACCCAACCACATGCGAGAATAGCGGCTGCTCAGGCGCATTGGGGTTTCCCTGTCTCATCCACCAGAGTGTTCCTTGGCTAGGCCAGCTTGGTTAGTGGCACAGTTGATATTTGCGCAGCATACGACGGCCTCCCGCGCTTGTCTCTATGACCCTTGGTAATTGCGACGATCCATCAGCCCTCGCGCATTCAGTTCAGCGAGCTGATGATCGAGGTTATGAATCATTGGTGGATTCAACTCATCAACATCAAACTCGCGGATTGCGAATTCGTAAAAAACGAACCAATGCCTCCTTGGCTCTTGCGGGAAACTGTTGCCGCCGAAACCACTGATCACACCGCCCCGCTTCCCTCCACCTCGTTTATTGTTCCGCTCTCTTTAGTCACACCCGATGCTGTCACTTCGAGATCTACTCGGCACACGGGGCACGTGGTCTTGTCGGCTAGCCAGTGGTCGATGCAGCTGACGTGGAATCGATGCTCGCAGGGCAGCAGATAGCGAAGCAGCTCACCCTCTCTAAAGTCACACAGGCACACTGTGCATTCCCTGCTCGCTGCAACAATGATTCCTTGTTTCAACTCGGTAGCACTTCGTGCTTCTGGCGGCTTTTCCTGCGATTCCACATCGCCAACCGCGCCGCCGGCTACGGAACGTTCCGCAGCTACAGCATCAGAGGTACTACGTTCTTTACTAGAATCCCCCATCATGTCTTCGTATAAGTGAAGTGGCTTTTCCGCGGAAAGGCAAAGGCGGTCTCGGGGGGAGGGATATGGTCTAATGGGGAACGTCGCGAGCCGCACTGGGTGCAATTGGGGAGGGCTTGTACCCGGGCCTGGCACCGATACAGTCACATTCGGAGTATCTGTTCGGTAATAGTTCGCGCCGCTACTACTATACAGAGGTTGACCGAGTAGTTGGGTCCACGTGTCACGAAAGGCGCCGGGGTGACGATATGCGAGCGTGGCAATAACGAATAGCACTACAACGAGGACCACTGCGGCTATGGCGAGGGATAGCGGGAGCGCTTCCACCTTCGCGGCCGGTGGTGCCCCTGGTAGCGCCTCTGCCGCTCCTGTCGCGTCCGTCGATATTACTGGGGCTGCTGCTACCGGCGCGGGTAGGGATCCCTGCGCCGTCACCATTGCCGCTGTCGCCGCCTTTATGACGCTTCTCAAGGCCTATTTTTCGTCCAGTGAATTAGTAGCTTCAGGTAGGAGCGGCAATGAGGAAAATAAATCGTTTCCGCTGTTAAAACTATCGGTAAGCACTTCATTGCATTCAAAACAAGGCAGAGTCATGTGAGTGTTTTAGGACTTGCCAATAGGCTTGCCTCCCCGCGTACACCTGATGCCTGTTTGAGCCCCTCCCGGTTGCCTTACGAAGGGGGCGTATAAGCTGTCACGAGCATTTCGCATAAGTTTCGGCAATTCGCAGCTAGCTAAAAATGATTCGCATGTGCTTATAAACAAGATCTGTAACCTAGTTTGACTTCAGTCTCCTCTGCTTGACTTCGGTCTGTACCTAGTTTGACGTCGGTCTGTTCGTTACTACTGGTTGATAACCACGCGACGCGCTTGTAATGTAGGTGCATGAAGCTGGGGAAACAACCTCGGGTGCAGCGTATCCATCCGGCGCAAGGCAAATTCGCGTGCATGGGGTGAGCATCAGCTGTATAGCAACTGCCGAGTAAAACGCGCATCGTCGTTTCGGTCTTGAGTGTGCAGGATATGTGAACCTTGATGAGTGACCGTGGATTTCTTGGAATCATGGAGCAAGGGGAATTTGCGCTGCTAGCAGTTGGACGGCACGGCTAGCCGACTGCTTTATGTATCCACCCATGCAGCGCGAGGCAAACCTCTTGCAGTTAGTGGCAGGAAGAAAGGATATTGACGGCTGCCAACTTCTGATGCACACAGGGGGTATTTTGTCTTGTACAGTACAATGCTAGGCGTTCGGTAGACGCGGCAGAGGCAACAGATGCCCGGGAACGCGTCATGCGCCAGGTGATGTTTCAGGGGACCGCAAACCTGCGACCGCAGATACCCCTTATACGCGTCTCAGCATATCGACCTTTGTGTTCCCTGTCCATGCCAACATTGATGGCCCATATAATGATAGCATAAAATAATAAGTCAGATTTGACAATTCACTCTGCATCGCGGCATGAAAGCATTATGGGAAATAGCTGAAAGCTATGTCCTTTTTGCAACTTGTATTACAACAAAACAAGTGTAAAAGTGCAAGGACAGCCGTGGCTTCTGATTGTCAACGGTTGCCCACAGCAACAGCTGCTCATACCCAGCATATGGTCTTCCCGCCACCTTTCCCACCAACAGCTCGAAAGGCTCAACGTTGCAATTCTGTTCAACCCAATCAAGCATCACCCACCGCTTACTTTCCGTGCCATGATCGCCTCGCCAGCTTACTATGTAGGCCCGAGCAATTCGCGATCTGCATGTGTAGAACGATCGCCACGCCAAGCATTTAAGTGGGAAGAGGTTCAACCTGATTATAGAATCCCTGCCACCACCAACTCCTCTTTTCAGCCGAACCATATATTGAACGAAGGAAGCAATTATTGCCTGTTGTAAGAAGTCGAATTCGCGAGTTGCGAAAATCCGGAGCAATCGTGTCATACAGCCACTCCTCAGCGCTTGATGGAGCTCATGAGTCGTTTCTCATAAGAGTTTATCAAAGAGACTTCATCAATCAGTTCCCCCACGCCGTCGATTTAGTCACATCCGATGCTGTCACTTTGAGATCTACTCGGCACACGGGGCAGGTAGTCCTATCCGCGAGCCAGTGGTCGATGCAGCTGACGTGGAACCGATGCGTGCAGGGCAGAGAGCGAACCAGCTCACCCCCGTTAAAGTCACAAATACACACCGCACACTCCCTGCATGCCGATATTCTCCTAGATATCGAGACGTTCGTTAAGTTCTGCGCACGTCGCGTTCCCAACAGCTCAAAGGCGTCTGTCGCGGCACGACAACTTTTCTCTTCGGCCGAAGAGCCTCCCGAAAGCCCCTCGCTTCCTCCCCGATTTTTTTCAATGTCTGCGTTTTCTGCGGCGGCAACACCAAGAAATCTCTCCGCGGTAGCATGCGATACGTGGTCTGCAGAAGAGAGGCGATACGGTCTAACGGGGAACGATGCGAGTTGTGCCGGGTGTAGCCCTGCGGGGGTAGCGACCGGCACCGATATAATCACATTCGGTACATGCTCCGGATAGTAATCCGCGTTAGTAGTCCTGGCTCCGCCTCGGAGATGCTTGCACGCGTGTACTATCCCGCGGATCTTCATAATAACGAACGCTATTTAAGTCACAGCAGAAGGGAGGTTAGGGATGGAGAAGAAGAGATTGCTAAGAATACCAACCGCGTGAAGAACGCGACGGAATTCGCCACACCGCGCGAATGTTGGCGCACACGGAGTGGGTCTGGGATGGTTTGAAGCAACGGGCAATCTTTAGAGGAGTTGACTGCGCTAATGGACAATCGGAGTGTCGTGAGCAAGAATGAACCGAAACAGGGCTTCGTAGTAGGAGCTCAGGCAACTTGAGATTGCAATGAAGTGAGCACCAAGGTCAAATCGATTGGATTAGTAGTTGATGCTGGGACCAAATCTTGCAGCTTTTGAAGGATTTCGCTGGTGGAATTTACTGCGTCGCGTAGAACACGAGGGATGGGAGAGGGGGGAAGAGAGGACGCGGGGGGTCCAACCAGACATTTGCGAAACATTTTGGGAGTTTGAGCGCGGCTCGACTCGACGAGGCGACGTGGAGCGAACCTCTTCGGCGAAATTATGCGACGCGCATTCCTGGATACAGAACGTTGAAGCAAGGCCGATTCACTGAGTCATCTTTCGCGGGAAGTCTAATGCCGAGTCATCACGTGACAAATCAGCGCTGGCGGGCCAGCGCATAGGGATTCGGGACAGCCCCGAATGCAACAAAAAAACCTTCAAGCTGGACGCCAGCTTGCAACGGAACAAAACTTCAACCCTCTGATGCGGCTCGTTCCCACCCCTTTCATGCGCTGGCGTCATACACTGCACACGTGCCTTGCCGGGTCAGGTTAGGTCAACCGGGGGGAGCGAGCGATCCTCGGCAGCAATGTTTTGTTTCAATCGAGTGCCGTGCTGACAACACAACAACCTTTGCCCTCCGCTTCGTCGCAGACGCTCCGCATCAATCGGGGGAACGAAGCGCGGGGGAGCGATGTGGTGCTGTAGCGAGGGGGAAGGGGGAGGGGTTGAACTTGAAGGGGGCGAAGTTCGGGTTCGGGGAAACAGGATGAAGGGTACTAGGGCGTTGTTGTGCGGTGTCGCGTGGTAACTCGACAACAGTTGAGTGTTATGAGTTGTCAAACAGAGTTGCGCGGAATAACGAATGAGGATGTGACTCAATGAACTGACGATACAATGAAAGGCATGCGATTATATAGCGAGGCAACCTAGCTAGGCGGGAACCTCGGGAACACGAGGTTGAGTGCAGGTTGGGCAAAGGAAAACCGAAGGCGACGCGAGGTTGCTTCGGCAGCAAGCAAAGCGGCCGAACGTGCACTTCCGAAAGTTGGGGTTGTACGCGGTTGAGTAAACCCCAGTAAGGAAAAAAGGGTTTTCCTTACACTACCCCCCCTCCCCCCCCCCCTTAACCAAGGTGGTCAACATCTGCAACACGCCTTCGTGCGAGGTAATCGCGCAGTAGCGAAGGTGCTTCAAGTGAAGCGGAAGGTGTCGTCTTCGCTGGTGCGATCAGTCCACCGAATCAGAAAATCCACGTGGCGTCCTGCTGCGTCTAGGCGTACCCGATGTGCCAAAATTTTCGACGGGTCAAGCGTCGGTTCCGGGACAGGGCGAGCTGTCGGGGCTGCATTTTGGCGGGCAATGTCCGTCGTGGCCGGTACGAAGGGCTTGAGGAGGCTGACGTGGAATGCATCGTGTATACGCCAGTCGTCGGGTAGCAGAAGTTTCGCCGTAACGGGTGTGATCATTTTCAAAATGCGAAAAGGTCCACAGTAGCGCGGACGAAGCTTCGAAGAGCCGGGCAGGCGGAGGTTCTTGGTGTCGAGAAGCACTAGTTGCCCAGCTGCCATGGTGATTTCCCGGCGTAGCGAATCCGAGTATTTGCGGGCAGTTGCATTAGCTTTTCGGATAGCTTCGACAGCTTTCTCGCGGATGGCCTGGAGTTCCGTCACAAAGTGTTGCGAACGTGGTACCGGGTTCTCAGGGGACGTTGCTGTGGGTACCACCGGATCCATCCCGTAATTGAGGAAGAACGGGGAGTGGTTGGTCGTGCTAGATGGGGCGTTGTTGTACGCAAATTCCAACATCGGAAGCGAATCCTCCCATCGAGCGGGGTCGGGGCAGTTCGTGCGGATGAGCTGCTCCATCGTCTGATTGGTCCGCTCGGTCTGGCCGTCGGTTTGTGGATGGTAAGCCGACGAGAACTGTAGCCGGGTTCCGTACTGCGCCCACGTCTCCTTCCAGAACTTCGATGTAAACTTCGGGTCCCTGTCGCTGATGATCGCAGACGGGATGCCGTGCAAGCGAACAACGGTCGAGATGAAGAGGCGCGCAGTTTCTTCGGCTGTGATTGTTGTACGACACGGTGCGAAGTGCGCCATTTTCGTGAGGCGATCGACGACGACGAGTACCGCATCGTTGCCACTTGCGCCAACTGGTAGCCCCGTGACAAAATCCATTGTCACCTGTTGCCATGGTCGCTCGGGTGGCTCGAGGGGTTGCAGCAGGCCGGCTGGGCGCTGACGTGTCGATTTCATTGCCTGGCACACTCTGCATGAAGACACATAACGCTGCACGTCAGAGTTAGAATCAGGCCAATAGTACTGACGGTGCAGAATTTTCTGCGTCTTGTCAACTCCGAAATGCCCGGAGAGGTTCGAATCATGGACCTCCTGGATGAGCAATTCTCGTAGCAGGCGGTAAGCGGGTACCCAAATCCGGTCGGTTCCGGCTTTTAGGTAATAATCTCCCTTCTGCGTCGTCGCCTGCATGTGATTGCCTGTCGTGAAGAACGGGTCCGTCTTGTAGCCGTGGGTGAATAGTCCCGAAAGAAGCGGGTTCGAATGGGTGATCAGTACAGCAGCGGATTGAACTGTTGGTCGGGTCAGGGCGTCGGCGATGTTATTTGCGCCCTTCTTGTAGGTGATCATGTAGTGGAAATGTGACTCCATGTAGTCGAGCCACCGGATTTGTCGTGGGTTGAGGTTGGGTTGCACGCGAAGATACTGTAATGACTTGTGGTCCGTTCGCACAGTGACGTCGGCACCTGTCAGGTAGCATCGCCACAGTTTAAACGCGTGAATGATGGCGAGCATCTCCTTGTCGTGAATCGGGTAGTTGCGTTCGGCTGCCTGCAACTTGCGTGACTCGTAGGCGATCGGTTGTAAGCCGTTGCCAAAATCCTGGAGCAGCACTGCGCCGATGGCAAAATCTGAAGCGTCGGTGACAACTTCAAACGGCTTGGATGGGTCGGCGATGCGAAGAACCGGAGGGGACACCAGCAACTGCTTCAACTCCTGAAAAGCCGCCTCAGCTTCCTCCCCCCACACGAAGTTCCTGTCCTTGTGCAGCAGGTCGGTCAGCGGGCCGGTTATCCCCGCCATATTCGGGATAAACCGCCGGACATAATTCACAAACCCCAGAAAACTCTGAAGTTCCGTGACATTAGTCGGGGCCTTCCACTCCTGGATGGTCTTGATTTTCTTCGGGTCGATTTTGATGCCGTCGCGGGAGATGACGTTGTCAGAATGAACGGACAGGAATGACTGTACTAGCACAAAGTTGGATACAAGTAGTAAACCCTAATCTAGTGTACCCCCTAAGGTGTAACCCACTACAGCCTACAATCATATAAACATATAATGTTTGACACACCCCCATAGGCGCAGTGGGAGACAACCACAGGGTCACGAGACCAGTCAAAGCAAAGGAAGGCAAGCTCAGGGTGGATCTCAAGGATTCCACACAAATTCCGAGCACAAGCTAGTGGTCACAAGACCAGTTCACATGCAGGTTTATAACAGAGCAAGAGATACAGTGATCACAACCTAGCAAGAGTAAACATGCAGGTATAGATATATATAGTGATCACAGTACAAGCAAAGTCAAGAGGTAAGTAAGTGAGGTCCAGTAGGCACAAGGCCCAGTAGAGTGCAGAAGCGCTGATGGTCACAAGGCTGAAGCGCCTTGGTGAACACATCAGCAGTGTTGGCCTCAGTGGCCACGTAGCGAATACAAAGCTGACCGCGCTGCTGCAGCTCACGAGCAAGGAAGTACCGCAGGGCGATGTGCTTCGTTCTGTGCTCCAGTCTGTGCTCCTCACACAAGGCAATGGCAGCCTTGTTGTCGACGTACAGTACTGGAGGAGAACGAGGCGGCTCTCCGAGGTCGGTCAGCAGGTAGGTCAGCCAGCGTAGCTCCTGGGCAGCCATGGCTGTAGCGTAGATCTCAGCCTCGCAACTGGAGCCGAGAACAGAAGAAGAGCGTGTAGAGCGCCAAGAAACTGAGCCAGAGCCAAGGCTGAAGGTGTAACCCTGAGACGACCGCTGAGTGGCCTGGTCGTCTGCCCAAGAAGCGTCTGAGTGCCCTGTGAGAACAACTCGGTCTCGCCCTCCAAGCACAAGCCCCATGCCCGACGTACTGCACAAGTAGCGCAACACCCTCTTAGCGGCATCCATGTGCTCCTTCCTGTGACGGCCAGGAGCGACATAGCGTGCAAGGATGCTAAGAGGGTATGCAAGGTCAGGTCGAGTGCAGGTCATCAGGTACATGAGGCAGCCCACAAGCTCTGGATACGGGCCACTCGGCTCTACGGACTCATCCGAAGGCAGAGCTGAGAGCGAGTGACCGGTAGGCAGAGGAGTGGACTGAGGCGAGGAGTACGTGAAGCGGAAGCGCTGGAGAACCTGCTGCACCATGTGTGACTGAGTCAGGGTGATGGTGCGCCGTGCTCTGTCCCGGGTGATCCGCAAGCCAAGATAGCTTGTCAGCTCACCCAGGTCTGTGCACGTGTGTCTCCTCTGTAGCTCCGACTTCACGTGGGCGAGTCCTGCAGTGTCAGCAGTGGCAAAGACCAAGTCGTCGACGTACACGAGGATGTAGAACGGCGGCAGCGAAGTGTCGGTGCGCAGGAACAGCGACGGGTCAGCTGTAGAAGGCGCGAACCCAAGAGCCGCAAGTGTAGTCCTCAATGTGTCGTGCCACTCACGCGGAGCCTGGCGGAGACCGTAGACCGGCCGCTGAAGCCTCCACTGGGTACCAGGAGGAAACGACCCAGTGAAGCCAGGTGGGCGGCGCAGCCAGATCTCCTCGTGCAGGCTGCCCTGCAAGAAAGCAGTGCTGAAGTCAAGTGAGTGAAGCTCGTAGTCGCGGTGAGCGGCTATGTGCAGCAGCACCCGAAGAGTAGTCATCTTCGGGGTGGGGGAGAAGGTCTGGAAGAAGTCAACTCCCTCTCGCTGACTGAAGCCTCGAGCCACGTAACGCGCCTTGAAGACAGGCGGAGAACCCGGCGGCCGCTTCACCCTGAAAATCCACATGCCACTGACGATGTTCGCCCCAGGAGGGGGAACCTCGTCGACGTAGGTGCGTGTGGACTTCCAGGAAGCCATCTCGGCGTCCATGGCTGTCTGCCACTGAGAGGAGTAGGGACCCGCCATCGCCTCAGCGTAAGTGCGCGGGGTCGGGATGTCTGGTGCATCCGGGTCTCCCTCAAGGGCAACTAGCAAGGACACGAGACGGGGCAAAGCAGCAGCAAGGCACTGGAACTCCTCCTGTCTGTCCTCAAGGACGTCCGTGCCAAGAGCACACTCACCCCCGACGGACGGAGGACAGACAGACTCAGACTCAGACTCAGCAACAAGGCTAGCAGCGTAGTCTAGACGACAGGCAGCAGCAAAGGCAACCAACTCAGCGACCAGAGCAGACGCAGTCGAGGACTCAAAGGTAGGGTCAGTGACAACAGTAGCGAGGAGACGCGTGACAGTAGGGTGCTCAGCACGGTACCGGTCAGACTCAGGGTCCGGAACGTGAGGCAAAGAGGACGCAGGAGGAGACGGTAGAGGGACACGCTGAGGAGCAGTAGAGGGACGCAGAGTCATGTAGTGAGTGCCTGGGACAGGAGGAGGACGCTCACGACGGACACGACTACCAGTGCGAGCAGGACGAACAGGCGACGCAGGACGAGACTCAGGCTCACGACGCTCTGTAAGACCTCCTGTGGGACCAGTGTAAGGAGAGGGAGCAGGGAGAGGCGAGGTAGGCGGTAACTGTGACTGCGGCTGGACAGGCGGAGGACACTCTACGGAGGGAGGAGGACAAGGAGGAGGAGCCTGCCCAAGAACCTGCTGAAGGAGCGGTACGAAGTGTCAAACATTGCATGTTTATATTATGTAGGCTGTAGTGGGTTACACCTTAGGGGGTACTCAAAGTTAGGGTTTCCTAACAAGGGTTACACCTTGTTGCTGGTCTTCCCAGGGTGCTCCCTCCCCTTCCCGACTCCCCTGCTCCTGACTGCATTCCCTGTGTCGAGGGGCGGCAGCGCGCCGCTCCTCACTCCTCCTCCTTTCCCCCGACGACTGCTCCCTTGCAGACGCTCCACATGGACGTGTGGGGCCCAGCCCGCGTCCGTGGTCAGGGTCAGGAGAGGTACTTCCTGATAGTTGTTGACGACTACTCGCGCTACACCACGGTCTTCCCCTTGCGCGCCAAGGGTGACGTCCCTGGTGTTTTGATCCCCTGGATCAGCCGAGCCCGTCTCCAGCTAGCCAAGCGCTTTCACTCGGACTTTCCTGTCCTGCGCTTGCACTCTGACAGGGGTGGTGAGTTCGCCTCCGACCTCTTGGCAGCCTACTGTGCTGAGCACGGCATTGAGCAGTCGTTCACGCTTCCGGCCTCTCCACAGCAGAATGGGGTCGCTGAGCGCCGCATTGGCTTGGTCATGGAGGTCGCTCGTACCTCCCTGACCCATGCGGCTGCTCCCCACTTTCTGTGGCCGTTTGCGGTCCGGTACGCAGCGCATCAGCTCAACCTCTGGCCCCGTGTCTCCTTGCCGGAGACTTCCCCGACTCTACGGTGGACGGGAGAGGTTGGCGATGCGTCGCGTTTCCGGGTCTGGGGATCTCGAGCTTTTGTCCGCGACACGTCCGCGGACAAGCTCTCGCGTCGCGCTGTTCCCTGTGTCTTTCTTGGCTTTGTTCCCGACGCGCCTGGTTGGCAGTTTTACCACGTCACCTCGCGCCGGGTTCTGGCCTCTCAGGACGTCACTTTTGACGAGTCCGTCCCCTTCTACCGCCTCTTCCCCTACCGCACTGCCCCGCTCCCCCCCCCGCCTCTCTTCCTCGCTCCAGGTGCTGAGGTACCAGACCCCCTCCCCCCTCAGGGTGCCGCTCCCTCAGGTGTGTCCCAGGTAGACCCGGGTGAGCCTGTCGAGGTAGCTGTTGACTCGCGTCCTGCGTCTGGGGGTGCTGAGCCTGGGAGTACTGCGTCTGAGGGTGCGGAGCCTGGGGGTGCTGAGTCTGGAGGTGCGGAGCCTGGGGGTGCTGAGCCTGGAGGTGCGGAGCCTGGAGGTGCGGAGCCTGGGGGTGCTGAGTCTGGGGGTGCTGAGTCTGGGGGTGCTGAGCCTGAGCGTGCTCCACCTGGAGGAGCCCCCTCCTCCCAGCAGCTGCAGGAGAGGTACCTCGAGTACTGCCGCCTACGGAGAGGTGCTTCTGGAGCTCGTCCCGGTACTTCCCCTCCTACCCAGGAGCTCCCCCCCATTCAGGTGATCCGCGAGTGGTACACGCGGCGCTGCAGTCTTCGTAGTGGTGCTCCTGGTACTGCGGACCCGAGCGGTGGTGCTGTTGCTGGTGCTGAGGACCCGGACGCTGGAGCTGCTGCTGGTGCTGAGGACCCGGGGGCTGGAGCTGCTGCTGGTACTGAGGACCCGGGCGTTGGAGCTGCTGCTGGTGCTGAGGACCCGACCGGTGGCGCTGCTGCTGGTGCTGAGGACCTGACCAGTGGCCCTGCTGCTGGTGCTGAGGACCCGGACGTTGGAGCTGCTGCTGGTGCTGAGGACCCGACCGGTGGTGCTGCTGCTGGTGCTGAGGACTCGGGTGTTGGGGCTGCCACTGGTGTCCCTGCTGCTTCTGGAGACGCTGCGCGACCGCGACCGTACTTCGTACCGCTCCTTCAGCAGGTTCTTGGTCAAGCTCCTCCTCCTTGTCCTCCTCCCTCCGTCGAGTGTCCTCTGCCTGTCCAGCCGCAGTCACAGTTACCGCCTGTCTCGCCTCTCCCTGCTCCCTCCCCTTACGCTGGTCCCACAGGAGGTCTTACAGAGCGTCGTGAGCCTGAGTCTCGTCCTGCGTCGCCTGTTCGTACTGCTCGCACTGGTCGTCGTGTCCCACGTGAGCGTCCTCCTCCTGTCCCTGGCACTCACTACATGACTCTGCGTCCCTCCACTGCTCCGCAGCGTGTCCCGCTGCCGTCTCCTCCTGCGTCCTCTCTTCCTACTCTTCCTGACCCGGAGTCTGACTCCCGTCGTGCTGCCAGTCCCACTGTTACGCGTCTCCTCGCTACAGTTGTCACTGACCCGACCTTTGAGTCCTCTGCTGCGTCTGCTCTGGTCGCTAAGTTGGTTGACTTTGCTGCTCGCTGTCGCCTAGACTACGCTGCCAGCCTTGTCGCTAGGTCTGAGTCTGCGTCTGCCTGTCCTCCGTCCGTCGGGGGTGAGTGTGCCCTCGGCACGGACGTCCTTGAGGACAGACAGGAGGAGTTCCACTGCCTTGCTGCTGCTTTGCCCCGTCTCGTGTCCTTGCTAGTTGCCCCTGAGGGAGACCCGGATGCACCAGACATCCCGACCCCACGCTCTTACGCTGAGGCGATGGCGGGTCCCTACTCCTCTCAGTGGCAGACAGCCATGGACGCAGAGATGGCCTCCTGGAAGTCCACAGGCACCTACGTAGACGAGGTTCCCCCTCCTGGGGCGAACATCGTCAGTGGCATGTGGATTTTCAGGGTGAAGCGGCCGCCGGGTTCTCCACCTGTCTTCAAGGCGCGCTACGTGGCTCGAGGCTTCAGTCAGCGAGAGGGAGTAGACTTCTTTCAGACCTTCTCCCCCACCCCGAAGATGACTACTCTTCGGGTGCTGCTGCACATAGCCGCTCACCGCGACTACGAGCTTCACTCTCTTGACTTCAGCACTGCTTTCTTGCAGGGCAGCCTGCACGAGGAGATCTGGCTGCGCCGCCCCCCTGGCTTCACTGGGTCAGTTCCTCCTGGCACCCAGTGGAGGCTTCAGCGGCCGGTCTACGGTCTCCGCCAGGCGCCACGTGAGTGGCACGACACACTGAGGACGACACTTGCGGCTCTTGGGTTCGCTCCCTCTACTGCTGACCCGTCGCTGTTTCTACGCACCGACACCTCGCTGCCGCCGTTCTACATCCTCGTGTACGCCGACGACTTGGTCTTTGCCACTGCTGACACCGCGGCACTCGCTCACGTGAAGTCGGAGCTGCAGAGGAGACACACGTGCACAGACCTGGGTGAGCTGACGAGCTATCTTGGCTTGCGGATCACCCGGGACAGAGCACGGCGCACCATCACCCTGACTCAGTCACACATGGTGCAGCAGGTTCTCCAGCGCTTCCGCTTCACGTACTCCTCGCCTCAGTCCACTCCTCTGCCTACCGGTCACTCGCTCTCAGCTCTGCCTTCGGATGAGTCCGTAGAGCCGAGTGGCCCGTATCCAGAGCTTGTGGGCTGCCTCATGTACCTGATGACCTGCACTCGACCTGACCTTGCATACCCTCTTAGCATCCTAGCACGCTATGTCGCTCCTGGCCGTCACCGGAAGGAGCACATGGATGCTGCTAAGAGGGTGTTGCGCTACTTGTGCAGTACGTCGGGCATGGGGCTTGTGCTTGGAGGGCGAGACCGGGTTGTTCTCACAGGGCACTCAGACGCTTCTTGGGCAGACGACCAGGCTACTCAGCGGTCGTCCCAGGGTTACACCTTCAGCCTTGGCTCTGGCTCAGTTTCTTGGCGTTCTACTCGCTCTTCTTCTGTTCTCAGCTCCAGTTGTGAGGCTGAGATCTACGCCACAGCCATGGCTGCTCAGGAGCTACGCTGGCTGACCTACCTGCTGACCGACCTCGGAGAGCGGCCTCGTTCTCCTCCAGTGCTGTACGTCGACAACAAGGCTGCCATTGCCTTGTGTGAGGAGCACAGAACGAAGCACATCGCTCTGCGGTACTTCCTTGCTCGAGAGCTGCAGCAGCGTGGTCAGCTTTGTCTGCGTTACGTGGCCACGGAGGCCAACACTGCTGATGTGTTCACCAAGGCGCTTCAGCCTTGTGACCATCAGCGCTTTTGCACGCTGCTAGGCCTTGTACCTACTGGGCCTCACTTGCTTACCTCTTGACCTTGCTTGTACTGTGATCACTATATATATATGCCTACTTGTTTACTTTTGCTAGGTTGTGATCACTGTATCTCTTGCTTTGTTATAAACCTGCATGTGAACTGGTCTTGTGACCGCTTGCTTGTGCTCGGAATTTGTGTGGAATCCTTGAGATCCACCCTGAGCTTGCTTTGCTTTGCTTTGACTGGTCTTGTGACCCTGTGGTTGTCTCCCACTGCGCCTATGGGGGTGTGTCAAACATTGCATGTTTATATTATGTAGGCTGTAGTGGGTTACACCTTAGGGGGTACTCAAAGTTAGGGTTTCCTACTTGTACCAAACTCTGTGCTAGTTCATCCCATTCCTGCTCAGTTATTCTGACACGAAGTACGGTCGCGGCCGCGCAGCGTCTCCAGAAGCAGAGGAGACTCCAGCGGCCGGGTCCACAGCACCAGCAGCAGCTCCACCGGCCGGGTCCTCAGCACCAGTAGTAGCTCCAACGCCCGGGTCCTCAGCTCCAGCAGCAGCTCCACCGTCCGAGTCCTCAGTACCAGCAGCAGCTCCACCGTCCGGGTCCTCAGCACCAGCAGCAGCGCCACCACCCGGGTCCTCAGCTCCAGCAGCAGCTCCAACGTCCGAGTCCTCAGCACCAGCAGTAGCTCCACCAGGCGGGTCCGCAGCACCAGCAGCAGCTCCCACGTCCGGGTCCTCAGCACCAGCAGCAGCGCCACCCCCAGGGTCCGCAGCACCAGGAGCACCACTCCGAAGACTGCAGCGCCGTGTGTACCACTCGCGGATCTGCTGAATGGGGGGGAGCTCCTGGGTAGGAGGGGAAGTACCGGGACGAGCTCCAGCAGCACCTCTCCGGAGGCGGCAGTACTCGAGGTACCTCTCCTGCAGCTGCTGGGAGGAGAGGGCTCCTCCAGGTGTAGCACGCTCAGGCTCAGCACCCCCAGACGCAGCACCCCCAGACGCAGCACCCCCAGGCTCAGCACCTCCAGGCTCCGCACCTCCAGGCTCCGCACCTCCTGGCTCAGCACCCCCAGGCTCCGCACCCCCAGACTCAGCACTCCCAGGCTCAGCACCCCCAGACGCAGCACCCCCAGGCTCAGCACCCCCAGACGCAGCACCCCCAGGCTCAGCACCCCCAGGCTCAGCACCGCCAGGCTCCGCACCCCCAGGCTCAGCACCCCTAGACGCAGGACGAGAGTCAACAGCTACCTCGACAGGCTCACCCGGGTCTACCTGGGACACACCTGAGGGAGCGGCACCCTGAGGGGGGAGGGGGTCTGGTACCTCAGCACCTGGAGCGAGGAAGAGAGGCGGGGGGGGGAGCGGGGCAGTGCGGTAGGGGAAGAGGCGGTAGTAGGGGACGGACTCGTCAAAAGTGACGTCCTGAGAGGCCAGGACACGCCGCGAGGTGGGGTGGTAGAACTGCCAACCAGGGGCGTCCGGGACAAAGCCAAGGAAGACGCAGGGGACAGCGCGACGGGAGAGCTTGTCCGCGGACGTGTCGCGGACAAAAGCTCGGGATCCCCAGACCCGAAAACGCGACGCATCGCCAGCCTCTCCCGTCCAACGCAGTGTCGGAGAAGTCTCGGGCAAGGAGACACGGGGCCAGAGGTTGAGCTGATGCGCAGCGTATCGGACTGCAAACGGCCACAGAAAGTGGGGGGCAGCCGCATGAACCAAGGAGGTACGAGCGACCTCCATGACCAAGCCAATGCGGCGCTCAGCAACCCCATTCTGCTGTGGAGAGGCCGGAAGCGTGAACGACTGCTCAATGCCCTCCTGCTGACAGAAGGCCTCCAAGAGGCCAGAGGAAAACTCTCCACCTCTGTCAGAGTGCAGACGCAGGACAGGGAAGTCGGAGTGGAAACGCTCACTGAGCTGGAGACGAGATCTGCGGATCCAAGGGATCAAGACATCAGGGACGTCACCCTTGGTGCGCAAGGGGAAGACCGTGGTGTAGCGCGAGAAGTCGTCAACAACAATCAGGAAGTACCTCTCCTGACCCTGGCCACGGACGCGGGCTGGGCCCCACACGTCCATGTGGAGCGTCTGCAAAGGAGCAGTCGTCGGGGGAAAGGAGGAGGAGTGAGGAGCGGCGCGCTGCCGCCCCTCGACACAGGGAAGACAGGGAGGAGCAGGCGAGGCTGGAAGGGGAGGGAGCACCCTGGGAAGACCAGCAACAAGGTCCCGTTTGTGCATGGCCCGAAGGCGCTGCACAGACGGGTGACCAAGGCGGTGGTGCCAAAGGACAGTCTCATGCGCCAGAGAGCGACACGAGCAGGGGGCGGACAGCTGACCTGACGCAGACGCAGACGCGGACGCAGCTACCTGAGGGGACTCAGTGGTCAGTGTGTAAAGGTCCGACCCCGGCTCCCGAGTGAAGGTAGCCAGGTGGCGACCCGTCCGAGCACACGTGCAGTGTGTCACGCGCTCGTAGGCAGGGGTGAACTGGTGAACACCCCCGTCCTGGAGCGCACTACCTGCCACCAAGTTCGTAGAGAACGAGGGGAGGTAGAGACCTGACAGCGTGCCGGACGGGACCGCCGGACAAGGAAGGACAGTGGAGGAGGTCGCAATGACCGGACCCCCAGAGGGGTCAGCAAGGGAGACAGCAACTGGCCGAGCGAGTGGCTCAAGGACAGTGCGGTCACGAAAGAAAGAGCGAGAAGCACCTGAGTCCAGGGTGAAGGTGTGCAGTGCTGCAGTCGACTCAGTACCAAGGGGCACAGACGCACGAGCACCTAGGGCTGCAGCCCCACCAGGACCTGTGGGAGGAGACGCACTAGCACCTAGAGCGGCAGCCGGACTGGCCTGAATGCCCGGGTCGGGCGGAACACGCAAGTACTGAGCACCCTCTCCACTAATAGACATCGCATACATGGCAGTGAGAATAGCATCAAAGTCTAAAGCCCAAATATCAACACCCCTCTTTTCCAGATCAGCCCAGCGCGGCAGCTCAGTGGCAGCAGGAAACTGAGTGCGCCACGCGTCGTTAAGGCGCGCGAAGCAGCGCTGCGTGGGGTGCGGCCTCCCACACTGCTGGCCGCTGCGGTCACCTGTGCGAATGACGTACGTGCAGGTAAAGCTACGCTGCGCATACCACTCACGGGCGGCCTGAAGCGTCGGGGCGGGCTGCTGACTCTGCCCTCCGCCAGTGCCTCCACGACCACCACCCCCACCGCCGCCGCCCCGGCCACCTCCACCCCTGCCGCCGCCACGACCACCTCCGCCTCCGCTGCCGCCTCCACCACCACTCCCACCGCTGCTGTCTCCTCCCCCACTGCCGCCACTAGTCTCCCCAGCCGCGCCTCCACTCCCACCGCCTCCACCCCCACCTCCTCCGCCGCCACCCCCACCCCTGCCCCCCTTGTTCCTGCGGCGCCCACTCGAAGCAGACGCGGTCCCGACCTTCTCAGCACCAAGAAGGTCGACAGCAGCAGCAGAGGCGACAGAGGGGAGGAGGGGGGAAGGGGAACACCCCTCAAAGAACGGGGTGCGGGGGTCGCCACGAGAGGTGCCTACAGCGACGATGCTCGCCTCAGCTGCAAGCAGTTCCTTCTCGAGGAGGGCAACAGTGAGCTCAGTGGGGGAGCGAGAGAGGAAGTGGTCCCTGACTGCGCGCAGAGAGTCAGGAAGGCGGGTGACGATGTGGTAGAGAGTGATCCAGAGCGGGGGGGGGTTGCTAGTGAGAAACTCGGCAGGCATAGCAGCGCGAAAGCGGGCCTCACTAGTCTTAAGGTGGGTGATGAGGTCTGCGACAGTGTGAAAGGAGGCTAGGTCG